GGTGGGGTGGGTGGGTGGGTGGGTGTTTCTGCTTGTGTGTGTGTACACGCACACAGACCAAAAGACACAGACACAGACACACACACACACAGACACACATGTATCTACCGACACACAGAGACACGCCGCAGACAGAGAGACGCAGAGAGACGCAGAGAGACACACAGAGACACAGAGAGCGACACATAGAGACACACACAGAAACACAAAACACACGCAGAGACACGCATACACACACACACACAGACACACACACACACACGCTTAGGACACAATGTGTCGCCAGGTCTCAAGTGACTTGAGGACAGCATTGAATCAACATTGCATTCACTCCAGAATCATGACGATATGCCCCCACTTGCACGCTTGCATCCTACATTCGTAGCACTGGCACTTCAAACTTGGTTCACAACATATTGATGGGCAAAGACGAACCAACGGCTTTGACGGGTGCAGCTTTGGGTGCCAAGCTGGTACGGGAGTTGGCGTCCCAAGTCCCATCACGAAATGCAAGCGTCTTCGATGGCACAGGACTTGCAGCGTCCCTTGCACTGCCTGCTTCTCCTGCTTCTTACTCGAAACAAGCTCCCTCACAAACAAGGTTTGACACACACACACACACACACACCTTTCACACAAATGTGGGAGGACTCAACGTGTGGGGTTGTATGCATCATTATTAAAGTCATGCATAAAACCAACAACAGTGCGTGGGTGCAGGTTTGGGCGGCCTTCCAGGTACGTCACTGGGACGTCTTCCCATGATTTAACCGATTTAACCACCCAATGACTGTAGTTACACGTCACACGTACAGTAGCACAGGGACTCCTGGTTTGTTGCTGGTGAAAATGTTGGTCGCAATGGCATCCTAATCGACTTGGCATCTTTCACATCCCTTGCATATCCCTTGCACGTCCCTTGCGCGTCAATTGCACGTCACTTGCACATCACTTGCACGTCCCTTGCTCTTCCATATCCTTGCTTCCAACCATGCGATCGAAGCAAGCATGTCCCTTGTACGTCACTTGCACGTCCCTTGCACCGACGCATGCAATCCGGAAAAGTGCACGCTTGAGAGTGCCTTGGCAATGCCTTAGTGGGCCTCAGTTCGGCGAGACATGTATTCGTAATGAATGGATGCACGAAACGGAGAAAGGCTGAGAGCTACATTGGATTTTCTCTTCGCCGTAATCCGGAGATGCTGAACATGCTCCTGGTGCAAGCCCGCTGGACAACTGAGAAGAATGAATTTCCAGGCTGGGGCGTTGCAATTCGGAGACTCACCGGCGACGATAGAATGAGAAGGTTCATTGAATATGAAAATGAGCGTCGGGAGACCTGGACGTCCCTTGGCACACGCACCCAGTCTCTGGCGAGGTTCAAGCATAAACGATGATGGATGCAAAGAGAGGCAACATGTCTGCCTCTGACCGTGGAAATGAAGGAATGGCATGAACGAAGAAAAGAAATGAGGGGCGAAACTTACATCAACAGGTTTCAGCTTTGGGGTTCTCATGGGTTCTCGGCTTAGCCCCTTGCCATGCTGACAGCTGACAATCGCTGCCGGCATGGGGTTTGCAGGCTATCGTTGTGGATGGCATATGCGCGATGCTCACTGCAGCTGGGGGGAAAGAATGGGGTCTTTTGTAGGAATGCAAGCTGTGCCCACTCCATACTGCATAGCACTACCAATAGAAGCCATGATTTGGAGACGTGGGGACGAATCTTTCAGAAAGAGTCAAGTATATTATCTAGCGGGAAAGCATCGGACCTTTCAGCAGAATGTCACATGTGGAAGGCCATGCGAACTAGTCAAGTGAAGCCATCCTGTGTCTTCGTAATCATCGGGCGGGGTTGTAGGCTTAGCCCCTTGCTATTTTGGCCACGTATAGACGCAACAACAGAATGAGGGTGCAGATTTGGGTGGCCTTGCAGGTACGTCACGGGAACGTCTCTCCATGATTTCTCCAGCAATCTAGAGTGCATTCGTTGGTGCAAGACTCTAGAATGCTCTTGCACCCCTGAATCATTCCTGTCTCTATCCAAGCCGCTATGCAGAACCCGCAGTACCACCATCCTCATGGTCGCAAAGAAAATGCGGCCGCGAGATGCGTATGTTCCCAACAGTTTCTGTCTCTATTGTCCTAACCCCTTGGAACAGGGTTGGTTGGATGCATACACACAAACAAACAAGCACAAACACACACACACACACACGCGCACACACACACACACTCAGGCAGAGGCAAGCGGCAAGCAGGCGACAGGCAGGCAGGCAGGCACTAACACATCATTTCATCGACGAGCATTTCATCTACGGCAATCTTTGGTGTGTTCAGCCGAGCACAGTCCTTCGAGCAGTTGCCCACCGTGATGTTGTCAGCATCGCTCAATGCTGCAAAGGCCACATCCTGAACCAACTAGAAGCAGCCGTTGCTTTACAAACCAGTAGCACACACTCTACTCAGGCTGTTCCGGTCGAGTCAGGATGCTGGAATCTTCTGTAGCTGACTGGAGGCAACAACACAGCGCGCCCCGTGAAGGCTTGAGAGACCTTTCAAATGGCCCCTCCTCCCACTCGCCTGCCAGAGTTGCAGCTGCTGATGGGGCTCCAGATCCGCAGCCGCTGCTTGGATCTGCACGATTGACTCCCCAACCTTCCTGGCTGGAGATGGGCTCAAGGGCTTCTGTTGATGCTCCCGGCTCCTTGAGGAGTAGTCGGCGGCTGACATTCGGCCCTGTTGAAACGCCTGCTTCCAAGAAGGCTCAGGGGCGCAGTGACACGGAGTCATTCACGTAAACCGAACCCAATTCCACGTGCTGTTGCGTCGAATGTTGTGGACAGGCGGCAGTGAGTGCACGAAGCCCGCTCTCCTTGGCTCGGGGCGAATGGGATGCTTTAGGACTCCTCGCCCGGTCAAGCAAACTCCTCCCTTGGCCAGAGACAGCACGGTCGTTCAGTATAGTCCCTTCTTGCTGATGTTGCCAGAGCGCATCAGAGGCACTCGAGATCAACTGGACCGTCCTAGGCTGGCTGCAAAGACTTAAAGCTCTTGGGACTGTCGTTCCTCCAGCATTCTGCGCAGTGACACAGGGCCGGAGCATCTCTACGTCAATCGCCCCCGCCACCGAAAAACTGAAGATATTCGCTGAAGGCTCTCCGGCGCAGTAGCTGCGAAAGTACCACGTCCGTCTCGAACCTCCGCTTCAAAGCTTAGGGCTCCTGTTCCTGAAGTTAGGAACGTCATGGCTTGAAACTTGAAAACGCCCTGCGAGGCCGGGTGGCTGATTTCAGAAAAATGTTGGGGTCCCTATTACAAGGGTGCGTTTCTTTTGGGTCCATATTGGGGTTCCCATATCAGTGATAGTCCTGTCCGCGCAAGAGCAGCTTCTCCTCTGTGCGGGGAATGAAGACCACCTTGTCGCGTGCTTGCCGGAAAGTTTGGGGGCTTCTTGGGCGTTGAGGCTGTTAAGGCCGCCGATATTTCGAGAAGCTTCTACCAGGGGTCCTCTATGGTTTCGGGGAAACTCCTGCCCTTCGAATAGATCGTCCTCAAGCTTGAACTTGCATGTCCCTCCTTACTTGACCTGACAAAGCTGGCAAACTGTTGACCAGCAGGTCAAGGAATGCGAAATCAACTTGCAGCTTGGAAGCAGTCAGCTTGGGATCGTAGGACCAATCGCTCAGGAACAACCGACGCTCGCCTCAAGTGACTGGACAGAAACAGAAGGGCAGTCAGAAAATCTTCAAGCAATACCCCCTTCATTTCCTCAATCCCCATGCGGGCCTTGTGCTTGCAGGTGGGCAGCCTCAAAGCGGTACCTGAACACTTTGGGCCACGAGTCGTGCGGGGCACATCGCACACAACAAGCCGTTCGCGAGGGGTTCTTATCTGATGCCGGGGACATCCATTCACATGCATGGCTCATGACATGCGATTAACAGTACGGACCTAAGTGACATGCAACATGCCCGCTTTTGGCGGCACTGAAGGGGTAGAACTTCTGAAGACCAGCGCATGTTCTCCAGCACAAGTGTCCGAAGCGGCGAGTTCGCCTGCGGCCCAGCCACACGCATCCCTGACACGTTTTCGCTTCTAGCCTTACCACACTCGATGCAGCCACCATGACTAGCAACGTTCCGAAACGAATCCTTACAGGACTAGAGATGGGACTCAAGAGTGATGTCACGGGCATCGGCAGAAGCAGGAAGAGCAGCGGACGAAGAAGCCTGGCTCTCTTCCACCTTGAGGTAGCCTGCTGCTGGCGGCAAGTTTACCGCCAGGACTGCCTTCGGCAACAACTTGGGGATTCGGGCGTGGTGTGGGCTCAATCCGGAGAAGGTGTTACTTCGGCGTCAAGCTCGACGCTCTCGTATGACTTTGGCCCCTCGGGGCTCCTGCAAGACTTGGGAGTGGGGTCTAAAAGACTGGACCGGGGCGTTTGGGGCACATCCCAATTTTCTTTGTAGCCCACCAATAACCTTAACCTGCTCGACGGCATATACAGGCATGTGCGTCTCTGTGCGAAAGAGCCTCCCATGGGCTTCTCATGTACGTAAAGGTTCGCATGCAGCATCAATGATCTGTAAGTAATTCTCATGTTCGTCCGCTTGCGTCCAAATTATAGTTTGTCGATCCATCCCTCAACTTACTCGCCAAGATCTTCGTCGGCAGGTATGCCGATGTCTGTCCATGTTCATCTTTATCTGCCTGCTCAATGTTTTCGATTGTACTAATACTACACTGCATGCGGCATACGAGGTTTCTAAATCGAAAGCTACATCGTCCGCAACTTGATCTCGAAGGGGGCGGCGCCTCTTGCCGCATCGTGCGCAAAGGCACCTTGAGGCAGGTGTCTGTCTCCCCAACGTAGATTCGAGGTTGCGAGCTTGACGTTTCACTTGCAAAGACAGGAGAGGTTGGAGCTGAAGCATTGAGTGGTGTCTTCAACCTCTGCTGCTGCGGGTACCTCGCTGCCTGAGCGCCGAAGTCGAAAGGCCCACAGCCCCAAGCTTCAGGTGGAGAGTACGACAGTCAGGGACAGTGAACCACTTTCACAAGAGTGGATTGCCTGCTGCCGCAGACAGCTCCTTGACTTGATGGACTCTCGTCAAAACAAAAGTCGACAGCCAACCCTGGCAGCAGTCGTTGGCTTGGCATTACCTTCTCAAGTACTGATGGCCAAGCTGCCTGCAACTAATGCCAACCTTTGCACTACGCTATCAGGAAGCGCCGCGAACAGCGTTGACGGTAGGCTTTCATTCCGCATGCTCCACGCTTTGCTGTCGCTGACTCAGAATATCACAATAATTGATCCGGTAGCTCTTGGCTCAACAATGCAAGCCTTCCTTTCCATACCAGCCTGCAAAGACCGAAGGCACGACCCAACTGCGAAGGCTCTAAAACCGCAGACCATGACTTCAAGCAGAGACACAGGGCAGCTGGCGGAGCCTGACCGGATTCTTAATATTCTTGTCTCTTGCGAGTTGATATTCTACTCTACTGATTCCAATGTTCTCGCCATGGCATTGGAATCACAGCTTCGAAGAGAGGTGGAGCGCTTCGCAATTTGGCTCTGGCTGTTGGAAGTTTGAGCCTTGTTGAGGCTTTAGTTCTGGAAGCAGCAGTGGGAGCATCGTTTATGGCGTCATATCTGTCTGGCTCGTATAGTCACATCCTCTTTTTTTCTACTTAACTTGAAGGATGTCGTTTAATCCAAGCACTCGCACACCACCTGGACCTTCAGCCAGCCATGGAACAAGCTCACAGAAAGGCTTCACTAGTGGCGCCATGCAATCTGTGGATACTCCTGTTCCATGTGCTGCAATGTGTGCAAGGACAACAAGGAAAACTCATCATACGGGTTCCACAAACCTTGCTGAGATCATGCAGTGAGACCCTTGTATGACATGCGATCCAAGAGACGTAACATTTGCATGCCTTTATGGGCCTTCCGACCTTCCGTAACCGGTCACTCATGCATCCACGTGTGCATACATGCACACGCTGCCAGTGTGGACGGAGAGGGTGAGAGACCAACCGCCGAAGGGAACCTTCTACGTCAAACACCATCCATACTCCATCTACACAGCATTCTCAGTTGCTGCAGATGGATCATAAGTATCACAGTTGCTTGGCAAACAAGCATTCTGCACCGCACATACTGTATACTTGAACACTTGCTTTATGAGCTTGAGTTGATATGCTCCGAGATCGTTCACTCCGTTGTGTAGCATCTCGTGTCCAAAGTTCCAGCAGGAAGCCTTCGTTCAGACAACATGACACCGGCATGTTCTTCAGCCACATGTAGTCAGGTACTTCGCCCATAACACCCGACCCAACAGGACGCTCAGTCTCTTTCGGCCTTTAAAGGACATATAACACCAGCCCTAGGCTAGGTAGCAAACTCAAGGGTTCCTGTTTATCTGTCCTACCAACAAGGCATTATTCAAGTATCCAATATCCGAACATCGCTCTCGCCAGCAATGCTAAGCAAAACAAGTCTGTTCAAGGGTACTGCACTGTTCTTACTAAAGAGCCTCATTCAGACGCAAAAGCGCATGGTTCGGAAGTGTAAAACCGTTTAGAGGGCTTCATGTTTTTGTGGTCTTGCTCATCCCCCATGGAAAAACGTGTATTGGCTGTCTTCTGGACATTCTTGTTTACATAAGATCGCGGAAAGATTTTCTCCATCTCTGACATTCCCGAACCAGTCTGTCCGTTATCACAAAAGTACTCGGCAAAATCAATGAGTCCGTCTAGCAATGGGTGAGTAATCAACGAAGTGACTCAGTGTCCGTCTGACCATTGGCAATTCTATACACTTTTGATACTTAGAACCAGCAGCAGGAAGCCACTCTATGCAAAACTGTGGAGTAAAACTGTGGAGTGAGGGCAGGTCGTCAGTTCCGCGGTTTGATCGAGGGCGATGAACCAAGTGGTACTGAGCCGGTCGCTGTTTCTCATCTGTCACGAAAGAAAAAACGTCCTTGAGTCATGAGGCCTCACCAGACTTGTGACCACCATGGGTGCAAAGTTGAGATGGCTCAAAACGTCCCAAGTCTAGTCGGCAAGTGAGACACTTAACCGCTCCGCTGCAAGTCTAGACACATGATGTGGATCTCATCTCCGAGCTTGCTGTACGCAGGTTCTCTGAAGTGATGCAGCGGGATGAGACTCCACATTTGGAGCAGCTCTGAATTCGCCGAGCATGCTTCGGTTTCCCGACCCGCTGCACACGAGGATCCAAGCAGAAACATAAAGTGCAAAGGCTCTCGGAGGCTCTAGGAACAGAGCCCTGCCATGCACATCCATAATGATAGAAACAAACCACTGCGCAGGGGCAAATCCGAAGTCCACACAGCGGCAACAACATGGCCGGAGACTTTAATGCCTTCCAACGGATTCCAAGTACCTTTGCCGCTCTCTTTCAAAAATCGCTCCAAGTACTCAGCCGCACTGGGACTGCTTCGACTGTGGAGCCCCAGGCAGTTCCAAGCTTGGAAAGGTTTCGCCGGAACATCGGCCAACTATCGAGGCACCATCTATGAATCGGCCAGAAGTTGGGGGATATACAGTACTCACTGGGGGCGATAAGGTCGAGGACCGGCATGCAGATGGCGACATAAACCGTGGTTCGGAGGGATGAGGTGCTGATGCTCTGTACGTTGATGAAGAAGATGATGAAGAAGATGCTGATGGTGGTGGTGGTGGTGATGATGGGAATGATGATGATGATGATCATAACGATCATGATGATGATATATGGTGATGGTGGTGGTGGTGGTGATGGCGATTGTGATGGTGAGGATGGCGATGATTGTGATGATGATGATGAGGATGATGATGATGATGATGATGATCGTGGTGGTGGTGATGATGGCGACGGTGATAGTGATGGTGAGGGCGAGGGTGACGTGATGATGGTGATGATGATGATGGTGGTGATGGCGATGATTGTGATGAAGATGAAGATGAAGATGATGATGACGATGACGATGATGATGGTGGTGGTGGTGATGGTGGTGATGGTGATCACGACGATGATGATGATGGAGGTGGTGGTGATGACGATGTCGATTACGAAGACGAGATAAGATGGGATGAGATTGGCTAGGATGAAATTATATTAAAAACGAAGAGAGGGGAGATCTAGAATCTAGATGATGAGCGTGACGGTGATGATGTTGAGGATGCTGTTTGAAGATGATGGCGGTGATAACGGCGAAGCGGCTGAGGGGAGGAGGAGAAGAGCACGCAGAAGGTAAGGAAGGATAGCAACGTATAACAGACATGATGAAGATGAGAATGATGGCGGTGATGCTGATTATCATCTCAGTCTAAGTACTTGTATCATTCGTGGCGGTTGCAGTCTTGGTAGTAGGAGCAGTAGTTGCCGTCGTGGTAGTGGTGGTGGTGGTAGCAACGGAAGTGGCAGTGGCGGTGGCGGTGGCGGCGGTGGCGGGTGGTGGTGGTGGTGGTGGCGGCCGCTGTCTTGGAAACAGTGGGTCAATGAAGAAGAAGAAGAAGACGAGGCCGATGGTGGTGAAGATGGGAACCCCAAGGATGATGCTGACCATGCTGCTGAAGAACACGAAGAGGTTGATGCTGACGAAGAGGCCTAGCGGCGAAAAGGAGGAGACCCATGATTGCTTTGATGACCTCGACGATACGAGCATAAGGATGGCTACCTGCAGATGAGGATGACGGAGATGAACACCAACATGATGATCCTGGTCCTAGTGCTTGTGGTGTTGCTGGGTGCTGAGCACACTTGCCTTCAAGCGGCTCTGGTGGTGCTCAAGTTGGCTGAGCACCGGCAACTCCACACAGATTGTAAACAGCGACGCGTTCTCGTCTCCTACCTGCCAAACTACAGACAGGAGCGCTGACGCGAAGGCAGGTGTTGCACGAAGGCGCGCCTCAGCACGAAAGACAGCATCCAAAGACCAATTTATGCGGATCTCTACCAAGCTTGCCTTCTGGCCCGCGCTTGGTCTTCGCAAGCTGCTTCCGGCGCTTGCGGCTTGCTTTGTCGGGCTCGGGCAGACAAGAAATGTAGAATGACATGATGACATAGAGCCGAAGCTCCAGGTAAGGAAAGCCCATGGTTCATGGTCGCAAAAAGCCATGAGAGCAAGTCTCAGCGAGCAACGCCCCGTTCTCTGCGAGGCATTGCTAGGCTGTAGCTATCGGTAACCCCAATAGCACCCTGCAAGTGCCTGCACCCTGGCTTGGCCCACGAAGCAGACTTTTGGCTGCATCGCACCAAGCACCGGGAAGACAGCAGATACCAACCTTTACAGTAAGATTCAGGGATTATATTAGGGCCCCTTTCCAAATGCGCTTTGCCAGGCTCTGCGACACGCCTAACTGACAGATGTCTTCCCAAGCCTCCATTCACGGGAGCATCTTTCGTGTTTTCATGCTTGCAGCGCAAGACATCACCCCATGACTCACTCGGAGACCAGCTCAGAGGGACGTTTAAAGGCGCGAGCATGAAAACTTGCAAACAAAAGTCAAGACGACTTTTCAATCTTGCTGGCTCACTTGGGCACCTTTCGGCTCGAAATCGCAAGTCAACACTACGCGACTACTCTAGACTCTAGCGCACAAGCAATATGAAGACACTATCCTAAAGGAACCCAAGTGACGGGACACTGCCCAAACCGGACTGGCGTCTTTGAGCAAGAGAAGTCACGAGCCACATAGTGACGTTGTGGCCACATGACTGACGGACTGACGGATAGATTTTGGGCAGGATCTGTGTCCACACAAACCCTTTGGCTCCAGCTTACGCGAGGCTGAGAATGAAAACACACGTTACCGTTACTTGAACACAAGGATGGCCATACTTTGTAGGAAGCTGGAGTTGGAAGTTTTGGTAGATGTTGCAGCCTCGAAGACTTTTGGAAGCCAGGATAAATCCAAGACTGTTTTGGAAAACTGTGGAAGTTTTAGAATTTGGGAGTTCTTTGGACATTCGAAATGTGATTTTCTGGCTCGATCTGGCTCGTGAAGAATCCGACCCTCACCGCCGCTCCTGACGAACTATGCACTATGCCCGGGTCTGCCGAAATGCTTAGGTCAGGAACTCAGAACTGGAGCCTGTCGACGACAAGGTCTCAATCTCCATTGATTCGACACATCAAGGCCAGCTGGCTCACTTGGATGCAACTAACTACAGCACATTAAATCCTTCACCTACATGTCCTCAGAAACCAGACATCTGCGGCACCTTCCCACGTAAGCCGAAAGCAGCAAAACATACTTTGGTAGAACCGTGAAACTGGCTGTTGGCCTGAATGGATCGCGACAGTAAGTCTGTCCAGTCCGCAGGTTGCCCTCTCGCATAGGCAATGTCCTTTCGACACATCTCCCTCTTTGCAAGTCTCTATGTCTTTGTGACTCTCAATAGCTGGCACCCTGATAGCTTCGTCCCCACATTTAAATCATGCCTTTCCGGAAACGCAATGGCTTGCGCTCTGAGCACTGCCTTAAGGTATCTCGGCCGATCTACACTAGGCATGCCTAACTCGTGAATGGCAAGCGCAGTTTTCAAGCCTGAAAGCGGCTGCAGAGCACCAGAGCGCAGGCATGTTTGCCACGAAATCTTCACAGCCAGAAAGACTGCTTCCCGCAACCTCCGAAACCTGGCTGCACATCTGGTGGCAACATTGGACATGGTGTCCTGGGAACATGATTCGGCAACTGCCTCGGCTGCTCCGCAGGTTTGTCCGAGACTTGGGGATCAGACACACTCGAGGCATGTTGCTCGTTGGCATTCTCATCCAACTGGCCTTGGTCCTCGTCACCTTCGCCTTCGTCACCGTTGTCCTTCAAGGCATTCTCCCTGCGTTTACGCCTGCGGGCTGCCTGCTGCAGCTCCCTCCTCCTGGCTTTAGCTTCCTTTGCATTGCAAAAGTGACAATGCATGCATTGCGCACCCTTAAAACAGCCTGCTGGTTTGAGGGCATAGGCCACGCAAGGATAACATTTGCCAGCAAGGTGGAGCTGCAGCATGTCTGGAGGTTCTGCGGCACATTTTGCGATCGGGGTGGCAGTTGGCATGCCTGATTTGGGAGGAATCGGAATCTTCATAGAGTGACCCATCTGACCCAGATTCTGGCTGATGGATGGGCCGGCGGAAGAACTGGGCCTGGAAGTAGGCACGTAACCTCCGTGTCCGATCCCAAGAGAGCTTCTTGGCAAGGCTCCAGGATTGCTGCTTTCTCCTGCCATGAACGGGCTCGGCAGTGGCATGGTCGGCCTTCGTGCCATGCTATGCTTCGGTCTCGAAATAGCCGGCAACTATCTTACGTAGCTCTTCAACAGGAAGGTGCGGCGGCAATACCTCGTTCGAGCTGAAAAAGTCGCAGAAACAGCTGTGTCTTGCGTGGTTTGCTGCACCACCTCGGCACGTACGACTAACTGACGTGCAATCCTAGCGGGCAAGGCAGTGCACACAAGAAAAACGAACGCTGAAAGATCGGACCTGCTAAACCATTCTACATAGACAGCTTGCCAGTCTGTGTGAGCGAAGTGTTTCATCCACAAAGATCTAGTTCCGCCTCCTACATTCGTGTGCTAGCTAACGGAACCTCAACTTGCCTGCATCTCCAGGCGGAACCAAGGCCATCTCCACTTCGACGTGGATCTGCAGGCTACAGAACCACATCAAATGCTTTTGACTGCGAAAACGTGCAGCGGCTGGGGTAACACGAATACTTATACAGAACCGATACTGGCACTGGCACTAGAACTAGCATTAGTTTAGTCGCAGCAGTACTTGCTGTGACCATATTCGCAGCCGTAAAACTAACATCTGAAGTAGTAGTCGTAGTAGTCGTAGCAGCCGGCGTCGTGGTGGTGGTGGTGGTGGTCGTCGTGGTGGTGGTGGTCGTGGTCAGCGTGGTAGTGGCAATGGTAATGTTGGTATCGATGGTTGTGGTGCGGTCGGGGTCGGGGTCTGGGTGTGGGTCGGTCGGGTGGCGAATGTGGCGATAGGGCTGGTAGATGCCTGTAGTAATGGTAGGGGGTAGTCGTAGTTGTCGTCGTAGTTGCGTAATTGTCGGCATGGTGGTGGTGGTCCTGGTGGTGCGGCGGCGGCGGCGGTGGGGGTGGGGGTGGGGGTGGGGGTGGGGGTGGGGGTGGGGGTGGGGGTGGGGGTGAAACACTGAATGTTACACATCCAGGTGCCTGTCTGTTTCACGTATCACTTGCATGTATCCATGCCTGTTGCTCAAGGTTCTAGCAGAGTACGATCTACAGCTGTGCACCTGTAGTAAAAGAGACTCCTGTGTGCCTGT